ATAACAGCAGCACTTTTGAGACTAACAATATAGAATTTATTCTCTAGCTTTCGTCCACACAGTGGACTCTGTCTCTTATACACATCTCCTACAGGCCTATACCTAGTGGTAAAGGCGATGACAATAGAAGCAAAAGTCAAGTTGCGTATTTTTGGAACATAATTTATTTATATTAACACGAATATTTCGTAAGTAAGTGTTTCTGATGATATTCTGAATAATTTATTATCCCCATGCAGTTGGCATAAGGGAACGTCCGGATCTGATTTCTCATTGCAAACTGTTTATTTGTGTAGTATTAAGACATCTGTATTTGCTAGTAAATGACTCATTACTTTAATAACAACTTAATACTAAGCTCACTGTTTACTATTTTTTTTATTTACAGCATAGTATAGGCATACGCCTAGATTGCAGTTTTTTGTTTTCATATCTTTCCAGTTTGATTACAGATGCATGTGGGAATGTCCTCCCTTTTTTTAAATAAACATTTTGTTTATACATGGAGGTTTTTATTCATGGTATTGACCCTGGGGCGGAGAGGTGGAGAGTGGTGGGGGGGGGGGAGATGGTGTGATGATGGGAGGTTGAACAGTACACACACTTTTGTTAGGTACAAAGGTCATAGAGTACCTTCGTGTCACGCGAGGAGTGGAGTACAGTGTGAACCAAAGCAAAGAGTATAAATAGCAAAGATCGTATAGCGGCGCTACGCCGCATAGCGGCGCTATACGATCTTTGTAAATAGAACCAAAGCGGTGAAACGAACGATACAAATTATTCTCGTGATTATTGACGCGGATATCGTATGCCACGAAGCACCGCAGGTTACACATAAAAGCGTTTATATAATTGAATGTATTATAGGCCTATGCCCTACTAGAGATCATAAATATTTAAGATACGCAACTTTCAACACTATCCAGAATGGAAATATCGTATTCTTCAAGCCTTATTATTCTGGTGAATCTATTGATTACTGTTTTAGTTCTGACGACGGCGGTAGAAGCTGCTCCTGCCAATGCAACACCAACGATCAACCCGAGTAAGTTCATCTAGGCCTAGGCCTAGGCCTAGGCCTGCAGGGCCTAACAGAGTAATAGTAGTACTAGTAGTATCCTAGCCCAGCCTAGCTTAGTTAGGAAGGGAGGGAAGTGCTAGATAAGTCAGCCGGATACGAAAATGTCTTAGCCTCGGCCCGGGGGAGGGGGTGGGGTGTCCTAGGCCCTAGGCCTAGACCTACCTTTTATGTTGTTAACGTGTGATACCACCCACCCGAGGCCTAGGCCTAGCTAGGCCCTACAGTAGGCCTAGCCTAGGCCTAGTCCTATGGGCGTGATGAAGTCATAAATAAATAATTCAGGACTACTGTATGTAGCCAATCACCCATTCCATGATCAAATCACTGGTAAATATCAATAAAAGTTAATAATAGGCCTATTGTTTAAAAAAGAGCTTAATTTCTGCTATATAATTTTTTTAAATCCTTCATTTCAATCACCTTAAATATTTCATATAGGCTAGGAAGAGTTAATTTTCATTTTTAACCTGCCATCTCTATCTTGGAGTATTTAAAACAGAATAAATAAGTATTTTTACAATTTTTACTGATGTGGTAGGCTGGGAAGTGGTGTAAGGTGTGGCACCCCACAGTTATCAGGTAAACATTTGTACTGTAAAAATCCATTTTTAAAAGTAAATTTTATATTACTGTACATGATGTTACATGTAACTTAAAAAGAAATTAAGCTAAACTAACTTTTTTCCAGGTAGCAAATACCACCAACACTATCGTACAATATACTAGACCTAATGTTAATAATAACTACAAAAAAATGCATAATTTAATGGGAGCTAATTAATGTGTAATACGGCGTATTAAAAATTAGGACGACTATACCGTAATTCCATTTAGTACCTGTGGAATTATATTGATTGCCATGTATTTAATCAACTACAGTGAATAGGCCTACGGCTGAGTGAATTTCAGAGCTGACTGTAATTACGTTGCTAATTACTGCAAAAGCTGGATTACTATACACAATTGATACTGCATATAATCCACTCAGTCATTCTTGCATGAGTATTCGTATTTTCACCAATCCATGCTATTGATTTTGGTTCCATGATTTTCCATCGTAGGAGCAGATTCCCACTTTCCGAACAGTTGTTCGCTAAAAATTTTTTATGGATTTTTGAAGCTTTCAGTGTACAGTACACTATTACACAGGAAGAGCTACTGTATTTTATAACAGCAGCACTTTTGAGACTAACAATATATAATTTATTCTCTAGCTTTCGTCCACACAGTGGACTTCATCCTGATGAAGTCCACTGTGTGGACAAAAGCTAGAGAATAAATTATATATTGTTACTCAAAAGTGCTGCTGTTATTTACTTTATACTGTTCTATACTGTACAGACTGACGCGGCTATACTTTTTATTCATCATGTATTTTATAATGCACCAGCAACTTAGGCGCTAAATTCACTTTCGCACCTAACTTTTAATTCTTATTTTTTCCACCTCAATGTTTGCACAGTCACAACTTAAAAACATGTTAATACATGATTCAACCACTCACAAAGTACCTTTTTCAACAAATAAGTACAGCGCCCGTTTCTGCGCTCGCTTAATAGCACGACAAGCTGCTGCCATTTTGCATTCAGTAATAAATTGCCAGAATGTCTGAGTTTACAGTGCGCAGTTTTATGTAATTAAATGTTACACTTTTAATATTTATTTGCATTTTTATACCATTTCAGTTATGCTTTATAAGATATTGTATGGTGTTGTTGTTTGGTTTACCTATGTTCACATGAAATTCACATGTAAAATTACTAACAAAAAATAGTAATGGTCCAAATGCTTGAACAGATATCAAAATATTGAATGGCAAATTCTCAGAACAACTACCAGAGCTTAGGGTAATGGAAGTTCAATCATGGACCTATATAAGTCCAAAATGTTCATGGTTCGATGAACCTTAATTCAAGAACTTGAATGTATAGTTAACTTATTTTTATACTGTACTGTACCTCTGATAAACAGGATGCTGTACAGAATGGTACACTATGATACCACATTTTTTCGGATGTTTCATAGGATTCTGACTATATTGACTGCCCTTTAATAGTTTCAAAATTTAAGAAATTGAACAAAAAAAACTCAAACATTCCCACAATTTATTTAAAAGTAGCATTTCGTTGTGCTACCGAGCACAGAAACTCTGTATTTATAGAGGTTTTTTTTTTTTTTGTTGGAAAGATAATTGTGAGTGGTTGAATCATGTAAACATTATAATTATATTGTGACTGAGAAAAACATTGAGATAAAAAAATTAAGATTTAAAAGTTACTGTAGGTGCGAAACTGCATTATTATTATTATAATGTACTTTAGCACCTAACTTTTTAACTTTTTTCCACCAATCTATAACATTCAATGTTGCAATTAGCTTGCCAGGTACCCATATTCTTGAGTGGACAAATTCAGGTATATAAAGTGCTTTGCCCAAGGATATGAAATAGCCAGCAATGGGTTTGAACCCTATTACTAAGCGCCCAATTTTTAATATTTCCATCAACCGTTCCTTTTTGGTAAAGGCTTCTATGGTTTGTTATTGTTCTGAAGCATCAAGTGTTAAAATTATGCTAAAGTTTTGCATTATTTATACAGTACATAGAATTCTGCAAACTGTAGTAGGCAGGGGTCATAGAGTAAGTCTCCCGGAAGTCATTGGAGACTCCAGGAAAGTAGGATGTTCTCCTGCATTCAAGCAAACATATATCTCCTGGAAAGTAACCCAATTCGGCCACCCACCTTGGCCACCCCGTTCAAAATTATTGAAATTGCACATTTTTACGATAACTCAGTGCCAATGGGTAATCACCATGCACAGAAAACTAAAATTAAATATGATAAAGAAAACTCATTTAACCAAATGAATTTCCAATTGTGACTTCAGAATAGGACACAACCAAACTGTACTGACGAATTGTAACCCCGCCATTATTTTGGGAAGCCAAACTGTTTCTGTGTCAAACCCTTTCCAAAGCAATTTTGTTGTAATAATTAAAAGCTGTTGTTCGCCATCTTTGCTTTGTCTGCACTCAGCGGTTGTGCCACAAATTTGCTGACGGAGGGGACCGAGCCAAGAGGCTGACAAAGTCTTGGTCGACGGGCTGGAAGATAAACTCTTTTGTATGGTTCAATGGAGAGTTTTTTTATGGCTTACTGTAAATTGTAATATGGTCCAAAATGTGCTTTTTGACACACTATAGGGATTGACACTGCAGTCAAAATAACGTCTATCTATAGGCAAATTATTATTTTTTAAATTTTTGATTTGACGACAGGGGGGTCCAGGCCTGTCCAGGCGGAGGGAAACAATAACCCCCCTCCCACCCGCTGGTCACCACCACTTTCCACACTATAAAATTTGTATGATGCCTATAGGCATAGTGTCATGCCTACAGTATAATTATCATCATCGTGTTACTTAAGAATTTGTTGCTGGTAGATTCATGTGTGATCATTATAGAGCATGTTATACATCAGATGCTAAATATAGTGAATTACACCCTGTTCAGACTACACTCTGTTGCGACCGGTTGCGATGTAATTGGTGGTAATCGGTTTTAATCCAAAACTGATTACTCCTGATCGCAATCAACGAGCGCATTCAGACCAACATGAAAAAACTTTACATTCTAGGGCCTAGTCCGGTGTCTAGGCCTAGAATGTAATGACTGACATCAGCCAAACAGTGCCTGTGGAATTCGTTGTGATTCGTTGAGATCGGATTCCGTGGTAATCAGGTGTAATAAAGATTGTAGCACCCAATCGCAACGGGTAACAATTGCGATATCGATTACTTATCGACTACTGTACTATTGGTGAGCTTTCACACACGATTTTACTTTGCAATTGTGTGCGACTGGATGTCGCAACTGCTACAACCGATCGCAATACGATGCTACTGTAGTCTGAATGGGGTATTAGTGTGACAGATTTTCGGGAAAGCAGATGATAGTATGTCCATAATACCATGGAGGAAAATTATTTCCTCCATGATAATACCCAGATCAACCGCAGTATGTATTCTTGTGTGTGTGTGTGAATGGTCCCAAATTTCATTCATGTGTAAATTAGACCTATCAATGTGGTATGTACTGTAACATATGTTTAAAATTGTCAGCTGTAGTCTATTCTTTGTGGCTATAGCTGATATTATGTGCCACAAGTACTTGATAATGTGTAAACAGACAAAGGTAATGACCCTTGAAACGTCTGACGTGGTTGTCATATGCACACCCTTACTGTAACTAATAGAATGATGGCCAATGGAGAGTAGGGAGCATTATGAATAGCGATATTTATTTTTGGTTCATATCTAAATCACTGTCAAGATTATCAAGTTTTCTTTTTCAAAAAATGTTGTATGCCCATATATAGTCATGATGTGCCTATATATGGTCATAATGTGATGTCATCATGACCATATTTAGGCATGTCACATGTTTTTGTCAAATAAAATTTGATAGCTTAAGATCATGTTAATCTACTTAAATATTTTTATTTTATTTTAATTTATTTTTATTAGCAAAAATCCAATTACTTAATGCCTGTACATTATATAAAAACATTAAAAATACTGTGATTGAATTATTGATTATTAATACAATTATTAAATTGCAAAGTTCAAAAAGATACAGTATATTAATACTGACAGAACACATAATCCATATAAAAACATTGCCTTGGAAAATACTGTCCAAATAAATTATTGATTATTAATCAAATTAATAAATTGGAAATTTTCAAAAGATATAGTAGTCTACTAATATATCTTATTGAAATTTTCAATTTATTAAATGTATTAATAATCAACTGTTTATCAAGATGTTTAAATCTACAGTAATATTGGATGCCAGTTAATGTACAGTACACATAACGTACTTGTAGGCCTACAGTATTTGTTAACGTATTTTCTGAAAATGTTTTTTGTTCACAAGTTATAAATTTATAGTTCGAATACTGCAT